TGTGCTTGGTGAGCACTCTATCACTGAGCCACAACCCCAGCCCACTGGTATTGTTTTTTAATATTTATTTTTTAGTTATAGTTGGACACAATACCTTTATTTTATTTATTTATTTTTATGTGGTGCTGAGGATCGAACCCAGGGCCTCGCACATGCTAGGCAAGCGCTCTACAGCTGAGCCACAACTCCAGCACCAGCAGGGTTGTTTTTTCTACTCTCATTTCATTACAAGAATTTTGACAAGGCATAAAACAAACCAGCATGACAGCTGACATTTACTGAGTGTTTACTCTGTACCAGGTATTGGACTGATCACTTTACATACATTATTTCATTTAATGATATGAAATAATTTTTTGAAAGCTGTGCAATGGCTATAAAACACTCTTCAACTCTTGCTTAGAAGGTTCATCCATTCTAGGATGTTTTTCTTTCACCTCTAATTTGGTCACCTTGAACCTGTGGGGTATACCTAGTGCCAAGAATGACATCATTGCACATGGCCAACCAGATGACTTCACTGCAGGAACTTCCAGGCAGAAGCACATGAGATTTTGTTCAAATATTTCATTATAGGAAAGCACAAATTCATTTGCAAGAGGAGAAAGGGAAGAAAAATATCTTGACAAAATATTCCATTTCAAGAAAGTTCACCCTAGCATTAATGTTCTTTTGGAGCAAGACAAAGTTCAAATAGGCTTTAGGTACTATTTAACAAAAACTAGGCATGCAGCCAAAAGGATAGCTGTGGCTCTGAAATTTTTTGCTGACTTAACAGAAGCCAATAGCTTATAAACCTGCAGTAAATACTTGAAGAATATCTGCTGAATTTATCCTCTTTCTTTCCCGCCTACTCCCCGATTTGTGATTCAGCTGCACTAATGCCCTCTCAGGCTATAATTAAAATGTTCCGATCCTCCAGTTCAACCCAGAGTTCCAGTTTTAAATCAGCATGAAGACAATCAAGAAGGAAGCACAAGATCACATACAAGGACAACCCAAGCATTATTTTCCAAACTATGCTCCTGGGGTAAAAATGAAGGAACCTCAATGCTGGAATATTTTTCTCTTAAATGTTCTTTTTTATAGAGTATAAGGAAAATTCCAAGTATACTTACTTGAGGTTCTTAAGAAATAATCACCTATTTAAAATATGGGAAACCAGGCATTTTAAGGAGAGAACTCATTTGATACAAGACACAGACATGTGACCTACACTAATGCCTTAGCACACTGTTGTAAGGATGTACACAATTTATTTGACAACTTTATAATTTATAACCATGTAACACGTGAATATCAAGTATTTTGTCTTATTCCTTCAACACACACTTGTGTATTTTTTAATAAGAAAATAATTAAAAATTTATATTTTCTTTTCTGTTCTATGCTGTGAATTGAATTTTGTAGTCATTAATCTGAGATCATTTTTCTAGGTGCCTACTTTGATCTAAGTGTGTAGTGTACCTTACAAGTTCTTATGAGTGTTCTGTCAATAAACCATAATGTTTTTTTCTTGGTACCAGGGATTGAACCCAGAGGTGCTTAATCACTGAGCCACATCCCTAGGCCTTTTTAAAATATTTTATTTAGAGTCAGGGTCTCCCTGAGTTGCTTAGCCTCGATAATTTGCTGAGGCTGGCTTTGAACTCGAGCTCTTCCTATCTCAGCCTCCTGAGCCCCTGGGATTATAGGCATGCACATGGCGCCGGACTGGATAATGATTTGGAAAAAAATATGATAAACTCATCTGGCATAAATATTGTTACCTACTGCAACTAAGCCATTCATCTAATAATTAGGACATAAAATACAAATATGGTTTGCTTAAAGTCTTTTAGTGGCTTTCTGTTACTACCTGATTATATTCAAACTTCATGTCGTGTGTGTGTGTGTGTGTGTGTGTGTGTGTGTGTGTGTGTGTGTGTTCATATGAGATTCTTGGAATTGAACCCAGGGCCTCATGTATGCTGGGCAAGTGCCCTACCACTGAGTCACTTCCCCAGGCCCCCTCCCCACCCTTTTTTGCTTTATTTTGAGATAGTCTTGTTAAATTGCCCAGACTAGCCTCAAATTTGCCATCTTCCTGCCTCAACCTCCTAAGTAACTGAGAATTTAGGCATGTTCCACCACACCCAATTTGCATCCAAATCAAGACTTTTTTTTTTTTGGTACTAGGGATTGAACCTGGGGCACTTAACTACTGAGCCATATCCCCAACCCTTTTTTGTATTTTATTGAGACAGGGTCTCACTGAGTTGCTTAGGGCCTTGCTAAGTTGCTAAGGCTGGCTTTGAACTCATGGTCCTCCTGACACAGCCTCCTAAACTGCTGGGATTACAGGCATGCACTACTGTGCCTGGCCAAATCCAAACCTTTAATGGTGACATATAAAGCCTTTCCAGACCATTCCCTGGTCCTCCATCTGTCTCTTACCCCTGCCTATATGTACATTGCTCAAGTCAAGACAACTAAACTGCAACTCCTAAGCAAGCTATGATCTCTGTTTTTCAAATCTGTTGTCTGCCTTCCCTTCCCTTTCTTACTCTACTTTTCCCTTATGCACTTGGCCTATGTCAGCATATTCTTCAAGATTTGGCTCACATATAACCTTTTTGAGGAACTCAGGTTAAGTATCCTTCATCTGAGCTTGCATGGCCCTATACACTCTCTCATAGCACCAATCACATTTGTTTTACAGTAGCCAACCTGTTACCTACCCCACCCATTCTGTTAGTTTCCCTGCATATAAAGGCCACATAGTTTGTCTTTAGTTTTTAAACTCAGTATTTTCCTATACTTAGAATAGTGACTAGCTTTCAAATACTTTTGAGTTAAGGCTGGGATGTAGCTCAGTGGTAGGGTTCTTGCCTACTGTGTGCAAGATCTTGATACCAAGCACTGCAAAAACCAAAAACCAAAACCCAAAAATACCCTGGGAGAAAATATAGTATTTTCTTGAATAAAGTGTGTTAAACAAGTTAGTGGGGTGGTATGCAGCTGCAGTTCCAGTTATTTAGGAGGCTGAGAGAGACTTGCTTGGAGGAAGGAGCTAGAGATCAACATGGGCAACATAGCATATTTTAAAAAATACCCCCAAAACACCAACAAAAAATTATAAACCAATAAATTTTTAAAAGAAAAAAGAAATCTTACCCAAAATGTGTTAAGTATGAAGTTAAATTAAGAATATACAAGCATTTAAAATCCAACAGAGTTTTAAAAATCACTTTAGTTCTATGCCCTCTGAGCATTTGCTGAGCAAAAGAATTTTCCAGTGAAGGCTCATTATTTGGTCAGCTATAAGTTGCTGAAATTGTGTGGCCTGCAAAAATGACAATCTGTCCTGGCAGCTGCTACCAAATTCCCAGACACTCTACAGCCTACAGTTAGAGTTGTTTCTAATTTTAAGCATCTAATTCAGAACACATGCTCCCCTGGCAACTGGACATCAGACTGTTCAACCTACCTTTTCTCCCTCCTGATGGGAGACGCAGACCTCAGGACCTGGGGGCACATTCTCCTTTTGTTCCAATTTATGAGTTTTGATTTCACCACCACTGGTTTTCAACTCATTCTATAAAATAAAAATAACTTGTGAATTTTTAAAGAAAAATTCTTGCCATTCCATTCTCTTCATCGCACATCTTTCAAATAAACTTGGAATGTGAAAAAATTCTTCTTAGAGGCTTCAGGTCAAATCAACCCCGTAATTCTCACAAGCAAAACCCATTGACTAGTGAAATGACAAAAGCAGCTGTGTGGACACATACCTCAGAGTTAAATATTTGTACGCTAGTCTCAAACTGGACACTCATTAGAATACAGACACATGGACATGGACACACACAAACCACCCCAGCACACAATGTTCTTGTGATTCACTCGTCTAGCAGCAGAGCTTGTGGAAATGCAAAGCTTGTGAGTTTTATCAGAAAGGACCATTCTGGAGCAGGGGAAAGGAGATGCCAAGTGCCAATAATTAAGAAAATATACTGACCATATATATAAATGCCCGGCCTGGAAAGAGAGACAGGGATGATGTATACATATAAAAACTGAAATTATATTTAATGATAACATAAAACAACCTTTTTCTGTGGGACTTTCAAAAACATATTTATCAAAAAAATTCATATAAGACATACCTTATTCTATTTCTCATATCAAAGCCTCAAAATAAAAAAGCATGCATTAACACAATCATAAGAAATAAACACAATCATGTTTTTTCCTTCCTACTATATCCAACAGGTAAGTTCATTTTAATATTCTGAGAATATTACCTGCTGTATCTAAAATCAACACAGAGACAGATGAATGTAGACATCTCCTACTGTTAGTCTGCTAGTAATTTAGTAATCTAGTACCTCTGTGATTCTTTAAGCATGGGAAGAAACAGCAATTTTTGGACCCAGAGTAATGAAGGGAAAGTGAGTATGACTGATTTACTCAGGTCTGGAATTCCTGATTAAGACACACTGCTCTTGAGGTGCAGACAAAACATGACAACCCTATTTACTTCTGACCCCATCTCAAAACCATACCTCCACAGCTACTGCCAGAGAAGATGGGCCTTGTAACAACCATATTCTGTGAGGGGCCTGAGAAATTCTTTTGGGACAAGATAAAATGTACTTCTTACAAGAACTCCTAGAGCCAGCCATGGTGGCTCACACCTGTAATCCCAGTTACATGGGAGGCTGAGGTAGGAGGATTATAAATTTGAGGCCAGCCTCCACAATTTATCAAGACCCTATCTCAAAATAAAAAAGGGCTGGTTTTATAGCTCAGTGGTAAAGCACCTCTGGTTCAATCTCATTATATATATATACAAAAAAAAAAATCTAAAGACTTCCTAACTCTTAAAATCTCCAGAGAAGAAAAACTGTAATGTAAAAACTCTATTAAGAGGGGGAAAAAAAGTCACTGAATAGATTTTCTCACTTATGGAATCAGTTAGATGGAATGTTTGCAGCAAGAGGACACAGAGAAGAAGCAACCTCCTCTAAAGGAGCAAAGTAAGCTTCCCAGATCACCTATTTGCTCTACCTCCTGATCTATCTTCTAAGTGACATCTAAATTTGCTTTATTATTCACATTGTCTATGAATAATGAGCCTGGAATTCCACATTACTTCTTATTAAATATTCTGCAAGAAGTTGAGATGAAATTATTCATTGCTCAGAGAATTAGTCCACCAATACTACTGGAAATACACAGTTAATTATTAGGGGGAAAAGAAAACTGAACTCCTGGAATAGATATTATGTAAAATATGAAGGGAAAGTGAGTATGACTGATTTACTCAGAGTTTGTTAAGAAATTTGGACATCAATAGATGAATGGTTTGTAATTTCAAATTTTAGAAGGAGCAAAATCTGAAAGAAAAACATTTATGCTTAAAAAATTAAAGAAGAAAAAAGAATAATACGGATGTGTTTATACCTATATGTAGGTGTAGGTACACATGAACATATGGGATATAAAAAGTAACTTTGGTCAGGCATGGTGGTGGGTGACTATAATCCCAGCTACTCAGGAGCAGGCTAAGGCAGGAGAATTGCAAGTTAAGGTCAACTTCAGCAATGTAGAGAGACCCTGTCTCAAAATAAAAAATAAAAAGGTTCAGGAGTAAAGTTCTCCAAGGATCAATCCCTATACTACTTTACAAAAAATAAAATAAAATAACAATTTCAATTCAGCCCTTATATGGTGTCAATTTGCCAGTTAAGCATAGGAAAATGTAAAATAAAAGATCATTCATTCTCTCTGGAATATCAGATTTTTGAGCTTTTTAAGGATGTCATCTTTCCTGTCTTTTCTCCCCTTTTTAAAATACACTACTCTATTCTGTAGGAAATCATTACATCATAAGGATTAAAGACTAAGTGGACTGGGGCTGGACTTGTGGCTCAGTGGTACAGTGCTTGCCTCATTTGTGTGAGGCACTGGGTTTGATCCTCAGCACCACATAAAAATAAATAAATAAAATAAAGGTATAGTGTCCATCTACAACTAAAAAAAAAGATTAAGTGAACCATATATTTTATAATTCTTTTAATTTTTTTTCTTTTTAAATATTTCTTTTAGTTGTCAATAGACCTTTATTTAATTTATTTATATGCAGTGCTGAGAATTGAACCCAAGGCCTCATACTTGCTAGACAAGCACTATACCACTGAGCCTCAATCCCAGCCCTGTATGATTCATTTTTATGGAATGTTTAGAATAGGCTGTTTCATAAAGACAAAAAGTAGATTAGTGGTTGCTAGGGCACTGGGGATGGGGTTTGGATTAACTGCAAAGTACAAGGTTTCTTTAGGGAATGACAAAAATATTCTGAAATTAGACAGTAGTGATAATTTTACAACCTTATAAATAAAAAATTACTTAAATGTATACTTTATTCTTTTATGTTGTTTTGTTTTGTTTTGTACCAGGGATTGGACCCAAGGGCACTCAACTACTGAGCCACATCCCCAGCCCTTTCTTATTTTTTATCTTGAGATAGGGTCTTACTGTGTTGCTTATAGCCTCTCTAAGTTGCTGGGGCTGGCTTTGAACCTGTGATTCTCCTGCCTCAGCCTCCCAAACTGCTGGGATTACAGGCATGCACCATCCACCCCCAGCTAAAATATATACTTTAAAATGGTGATTTTAGCTGGGTGAGGTGGCCCATGCCTGTAATCCCAGAGACTTGGAAGCTGAGGCAGGAGGGTTCAAAGCTAGCCTTAGCAACTTAGAAAGGCCCTAAGCAACTTAGTGAGACACTGTCTCAAAAAAATAAAAAATGAAAAAAAGGATTGGGGATGTTGCTCAGTAATTAAGCAGAACTGGGATCAATCCCTAGTTAATAATAATAATATAATAATAATAATAATAAAATGATGATTTTGTTGTGTGACTTACATAAATAAAAAATTATAAAACATCTACATTCATGTTGAATACTGATATTTCTCTTTCTCTCTCTCTCTTTTTTTTTTTTTTAGTACTGGGAATGGAGCTCAGGAGCACTCAACCACTAAGCCACACCCCCAGCTCTATTTTGTATTTTATTTAGAGACAGAGTCTCACTGAGTTGCTTAGTGCCTTGCTTTTGCTGAGGCTGGTTTTGAACTCACGATCCTCCTGCCTCAGCCTCCCAAACTGCTGGGATTATAGGCATGTGCCACTGTGCCCAGCCACTGCTATTTCTCTTTAATATTATCTCTTCTTTCCTCAAAAAACAAAATAAGGGGGCTGGGGTTGTGGCTCAGTGGTAGAGCACTCTCCTCATATGTGCAAGGGCCTGGGTTTGATCCTCAGCACCACATAAAAATAAATAAATAAAAGTATTGTGTCCAACTAGAGCTAAAAAGTAAATATTAAAAAAATAAATAAATAAAGGTTAGAGATGTAGCTCAATGTCTGACCACTTGCCTAACATGTGCCAGGCCCTGGGTTTGATTCCAGGCAATGCAAATAAATAAATAAATAAATAAAATTAAGTTAAATCTTTTCTGTTAGCCAGGCATAGTAGTATATGCTTATTGTCTCAGCTACTCAGAAGGCCTGAGGCAGGAGGGTCACTTGAGTCCAGAGTGCAAGTCCAGCCTGAGGAATACAATGAAACCTCCTATCAAAAACAAACCAACTCTAGGGCTGGGGTTGTGGCTCAGCAGTAGTGCACTTGCCTGGCATGTGAGGCACTGGGTTCAATTCTCACGTATAAATAAATAAAATAAAAGTTTATCAACAACTAAGAAAAAAACAACTCTAAATAGTATTGTTAAAACGAATAAAACTATACCTCTTGGCAATGACAATGAAAACATTCATTAGGAGAATGAGGAAAACTCTGACATTACTGACTGGTAACATCATACAAAAAAATATGAATGTGAAAGAGCTAGAAGAATGAAGTCAGCGTTAGAACACAGTAAAGACTACAAATGAAGTGAGGGCAGGATTTATGTGAAGAGAGACTGACTAGTGGCAGAGAAAGGATCAGGGCCTAAGGGTTGGGAGACACTTCCTGGTTCCAGTGTTCAGTGACAGTGACAGGCTGGGGGAGCGAGTGAAGGAGAGATTCAGAACACATACTGTATAGTTGGTTGAACTACTTTGTTTGGACACAGCCGCCTGGTACTTGGCCATTCGATCCTTTATGGAGGTTTCTGAGAGGCGTGGGAGTTCCAGGTTTCGCTTACTTTCATTTTTCTCTGAGTTGAATGCAGAGGATGACAACTGACCTGGAAGCACGCAAACAACAGGCTTTGTTAGGTGATAACATGTGATTCCAGTGGTTTACTAATTTTACATTTGGGCTACTGAAATCTAAAGGTCAATTTCTTCTATTAAAAAGGACAAGGGCTGAGGTTGTAGCTCAGTGGTAGAGCGCTTGCCTGGCACGTGTGAGCGACTGGGTTCACTCCTCAGGACCACATAAAAGTAAATAAAGTATAAATGCACAACTTAAAAAAAAATTTAAAAAGGACAAAGAAGAAAATCAGAAACATATCTGTTATTTATAATATTCATTCACTTTCTTAACACTAAGAGGAGAAGCTTTACCAAAATTAAGCATGGTATATTTTAAAATTCTAGCTAATTTGACATATGGAAAAATAGAAGATCTCAATGCTCTCTTTTTTTAAAATGTTTTTTTCTTCTTTAGTTGTAGATGGACACAATGCATTTACTTTATTTATTTTTATGTGGTACTGAGGATCGAACCCAGTGCCTCAGGCATGTGCCAGTTGAGCAATCTACCACTGAGCCACAACCTCCAGCTCTCAATGCTCTTTTAATTTGTATATCTTTGATTACCAGAAGTTTGATGATTTTCTTGTGCTTATTAATTTTTTTTTTTGTGAAATGCTTATACCCTTTCCCCCAACATGATAACTGCACCATAATAATTTCAACAGTAACATAGGAAAACCAATCCTCTTTTTTGGTGGGTAGAAAGATACTAGGGATCAAATTTAGGGCCTTGCTTATGCTAAGTATATGTTCTACCACTAAGCTACATCTCCAGCCCCAGGATCACCAATCTTGATTATAAGTAATACAGCCTATCTATTGAAGCCCTCAAGTCCCAGACAACTGTGGAGCCAAACTGTCGGTAGTATCTTACTTGTAATTCCTCAAAGGCTTCCTTTGGTTCTCACATTTTGACAAGGATAGATTAAAAACATAAGACAAATGTGGACGTGGTGACACACACCTATAAACCCAGCAGCTCAGGAGGCTGAGACAGGAGAATGGCGAGATTTCAAAGCCAGCGGCTAAGCAACTCAGTGAGACCCTGTCTCTAAATAAAATACAGAAAAGGGCTGGGGATGTGGCTCAGTGGTCAAGTGTCCCTGAGTTCAATCCCTAGAATCACCACACACACAAAAAAAAAACCCAACAACACAAAAAAGCTGCCAGTTGCAGTAGCACACTCCTGTAATCCCAGTGACTTGGGAGGCTAAGGCAGGAGGACCATGAGTTCAAGACCAACCTCAGCAATTTAGTGAGTCCTGAAGCAATTTAGGTAAGTCTTAAGCAATTTAGTGAGATCCTGTCTCAAAATAAAAATAAAAAGGGCTGGGGATGTGACTCAGTGTAAAGCACCCCTGGGTTCAATCCCCAGTACCACTAAACAAAACAACAATAACAACAACAACAAAAAACACTCGCACAGGAAAAGCTTTAGAGAGCAATGAGATTTGCGAATGTACCTGACAGAATTCCTTTTAATTTGTGTGTTATTCTTCTTCTAGAAGCATTGGCCTTGAGTCCAAAAGCCATTACTTCTAATAAATGCTCTCTAAAAGATATCACACATAAGGAACTCTGCTTACCTGGACCTATTTCCAAGTCATCCAAAGAATAGCTGTTTTCAGAGATCCTCCTTCCACCTGTATTTCGGCTTTGGGCCCAAAGAATCTGTATAGAAAACAAATACACTTTGAATAGAAGATGGGATATCTTCATTAAATATTTAAGTCTTTTTTTTAGTAATATAATCCATAAGAGATTAGATTTTATATATTTTTTCACATTCTATAGATTTTTTTTCTTCTTCAGTGCTGGAAATGGAATCCAGGGGGTCTCATACATGTCAGGCAAGTGCTCTACCACAGAGCTACATCCCCAGCCCCATTCCAAAGATTTTTAAAAAATATTATAAATATCAAGCTCTACATTTCATAAGTGCTTAGAGTTTAAAAAAAAGTGATTCTATATAGGTAATGCTTTCTGCTAAGGATTACTGCCTAATCAGTTATACCAGCAAGCAATGTAATTTAAATAGTCATTGAAGGGAAATCCTCATGTCCCAGATAACAGTGACATATCCCTCCTGACTGCCAAGGCCTCATGGCGGCATCTACTATTTCCTGTCTCCTGCTCACTTTACCCCTGCTGCTTCTGTCTTGGTCATGTCTTCATCAACTTTCCCCTGGACTACTGGATTACCTCATTATTATTATTATTAGTTTTGTACCAGGGATTGATCCCAGGGGGGCTTAACCACTGAGTCACGTCCCCAGCCCTTTTAGAGACAGGGTTTCACTGAGTTGCTTAGGGCCTAGCAAATGCCTGTTCCTTTAAGATTCAGTGTAAGCAAATGAAGTTTGACCTATCTCTTCCACATAAATGTGGTAGTTCTTTCTGTATTCTCAAGGTGTCTGATCACACTTCTGTACAAAGCTTACCATGATGTTGTGTGACTATCCTATGGGCCTGAAAACTCACTAAGGATATAGAGTCTGTGCTTTTTTAATTTTATTATTTTATTTTTTGGTTAGACACAATACCTTTATTTTGTTTATTTATTTATTTTTATGTGGTGTTGAGGATCGAACCCAGGGCCTCATGCATGCTAGGCGAGCGCTCTACCACTGAGCCACAGTCTGAAAACCCCAGCCCGAGTCTGTGCTTTTTCATCCATATATTTCCAGAATTCTTTATAGAAGAGGATGGTACATATTGTTGAATGAAGCATTTTGTGACTCCTGAAAATCCCTATATTATAACTCTCATATCTTGAGTAGATCTCTAACTAAAATTATAATTTTCAGGACTGGAAATGTAACTCAAGAGAAAGTCACTTAGTGTCATAGAATATTCCCATAGGGAGCATGTTTATTTAGTTTGAATGACAGCCTTCAACCTGATCCTATCATTCAAATCTCAGTTTATTTCTAGATAACCTGAAATAGGAAAGACAGTTGAAAGTCAGTATGACAGGAGATAAAATATTGAGCACCTTTTGAATTCAACATAACAGAAGTCATTAAATCTTTAAATTCATCGGACTAATCCATTTAATGATGAAGATCAAGAAGATTTACTATCACTTCTATAATTTTTTTTTTTAACCATTCCCCTTCTCCTCAAAGATAGAAAGCATGTATTTCAGAAACCAGAGCTAGGGAGCTGGGGTTGTGGCTCAGTGGCAGAGCACTTGCCTAGCACAAGTGAGACACTGGGTTCAATCCCCAGCACGACATAACAATAAATAAATAAAT